CCTAAGAAATTCAATTTTGCCTACATCCATCTTTTGAACGCAGCTCAGGGCGATCATCCTTTCTGGTTTCTTAACAGTTCCCATCAGCCGTATGTATGTATCTCAACAAATAATAGCGTAAACGTGACATTCACGAGAGAAAGGCTGAAATTGTGCATTTGTTGAAAAATTTGATATTTCGCGCGATGATAATATGAAAAATATTCATATACAAAACCGGTGAAAGCATTGGCGCACAACACATACGTACCGCTAGATTCCGATGTCTCTCAACGTGGAGATGCATCATGTTGGTCTTCTCCCAAATGATTAACGGTTTGCTTCCCTATTACGATTATCGTTGGCAAACGGCTCGGATTAATTTCAATGCGTCTGATTATTGATACTGTCGTACCACTGTGGAAACCCTATTACAGCGTCATACTGTCGCGCTTAAGTACCGCACGGTACTTTGACTAAGGCCGTCGATAATCGATACCGAATGGTTTCGGCCCTTTGACCCGCATTGATCTACGAGGGTATTGTAGCTATTTGTCAAATCTTGTCTTATCCGGCACTCAAGAACGGAATCCACAAAGCTGACCGCGCAGTCAGCTCATTGTTCCAAAACAATTAGATTGCAATCGAAAAGATGTTTACTCGATCACGAGACGCGCAAATCGTACTTTCATCTTCAAATAAAAACAAATCGAGTGCTTCTGTGAAAAATATATACACTCCATTTTTTAAAGTTTTGAAACACGTAATTTACCGCTGCGTGTCAAAAGGAAAAGTGTCAATGCTTAGTCCTGGACATCCTTATAATCCTTATTGTTTTGGTCTTAAAGTACGAATATTTAAACTTTCAACGTGAAATATATATATATATTTTTTTTCTATGTTAAAAAATTAAATATTCGTATTTAAAGACCACAACAATAAGAATGTCCAGGATTAGGTACGCGTGTCTGGGAGTCGGTACTTTTATACCTTAAATTATAAAATCATTCACGTCCTGTTACGCACGCCTAACGCGGGATTCCAATTCTCTCCTCCCTCTCAGGATTGAATAAACTATCTATCTCTCTCCCTTTTTTCTCTCTTTCTCTCCCCTTCTCTCTCCTCTCCCAAGCCGCGATTTCTTTTTCTTTATCGCGGATTAAACCTCCCTGGAAAGTTTCCTGATTTCGGTAATAATGCGAGTCAGGCTACTCCAATTCCGCCGCGCAGCCCCGCCGTCGCTTTTATCGTCTAGAAGTGATTCGCCGTAACATCCCGGGAGAGGAGAGCGAGAGCTAGAGCGAGCGAGCGAGGATAGGTGCCGCAAGAAGAAGGAGTCAAGGCGCGGAACGGGCGTGCCCGAGAATGGGCTCGGATAGCTCGGCGTTTCAAGTAGCATTTCCTTGGCACAAACGACCCTCTTAATCAATCGCTAGCACCTCTCTTCTTCTCTCCCGGCCGCCCCGGCTACGACTCGGTGTGCGGCTCTCCGGCTCGAGCCGCACACCGAGAGCACCGTCCTCCTTCTGCCGGAAGTCTAAAGCCCCCGTAACAAGCCGCAACTTCGATAAATCTCTCCCCACCGTCTTTCTTTCCCGAGAACCGAGCGATTCCGCGGCATTAGCAAGAACGAAAGGAGAAAGGCGAGCGAAGGATATATCTCGGATCGATTCTGGCGGAGGCGCTTAAGGGATGCGATACGAACGCTGTGGCAAAGGAGGCGCAGAGGGTACGCTGGCCGAAGAAGCAGGGTAGGAGAGGCAGAAAGAGGGGGCAAAGGCTACGCTAGAAGATCGAGGGACGGGGGAGAAAAACTTATGAAAATCCGGGATTTATGGCGACGTGTGGGCGAGAGCCGCGCCCGGTGGTTCGGTTCTGACAAATCGTCCGGAAGTTAACGTTCCCGATCGTCCCTGGATCGCCTTTCCGCGAAGGCGAATCCTTCTCGCGACGTGGCCCGTTCTGGGGTGAAAAGAAAAAAAAGGAACTTTCGACCCTTTCTCAATATACCGTCGTATTTCGTATCACGAGCTCTCGTCGTATACGTCTCACATCGACGACGGGGGTGAGACGCGGTTAACGTTCCCCTCACTCATTCTCTCTCTTTTTCTTTTTGAAAGTTCGAAGATCGATATGGTAAACGTGGTGAAACGGTTTCAGCACGACCGCGTTAACTGATCTCGGCTGATGCCACGGCGTGTTTTCTGAAAAGAGCAAAGATCAGTAAAGCAACATTGCGCGAGCAGATACGGAAGAAGCGAGTGAATAAGCACGATTAAAACGGCAGCTCGAAGATATTGGATTTTATCGTGATATCTTCCGTAACGCGCACGCATTTTCTGACAATACGACGAGGTCGAATGCCTCCTCCGAGGGAAATTGCCATTTTCCATTGAGTTTCGAGTCCGGAAGACCGATCGAAAATTGTCAAATTTCATAGAATTTCGAACAAAAAACCGTAACATCGTAGCAAAAGCGAACATCTTTCTCACGGGGAAAGGCAAAAGCACAGAATAAACTTTCCCGATCGACTCCGAGATTCGTCAAAGGAATCGAGCTGAGAGAAAAATAGTTCTTTGTGTACTTTGTGTATAAAGATAGGTGCGTCGGAATTTTCTACAAAGTATCTGTCCCGCGCGCCACGTCTCTCTCTCTCTCTCTCTCTCTCTCTCTCTCTCTCTCTCTCTCTCTC